ACCCCCCCCCCCCCCCCCACACACACACACACACACATTAACTTCACCCCCATCACTAACTTACACATCACACAAACACCCTTTTTACAAGCAAGATACAACAGTTGCTTATGTTGCTTAGCCAACAAAGAGTATGTGTGGAGACACAGATCCCATGTATGGGGCAACAACTTCAGTGACATGCCTTGTACACACACACACGCACTAAGCCAGATTTCCCGATCTTTTACTATGGAGGACAAACTAAATATTGACTTGGAGGTTGATTGGGACTACCTCTAGAATCACTTTTGTAATAAAATCACACTAAGAACAACCTCGGGTGACCTTTTCTATCTAATCCTGTTAATTAAAATGTTTATAACATAATCATAATCACCTTTATTTGGCCAAGTATGTTACACACACAAGAAAACATCCAGAGCTGTAATTGCAAACAAGATGATGATTTCAAATAATTAAAAATGGACTATTTTTCTGTCTCAAATGTTCAATTGTTTCTTCTTCTTTTTTTTCCAGTGTTGAGAAAATAGAGGAACTATGGTATTTAACATTTAGTGATTCCTTAATTGTAAGCTATTACTGGTTTGTTTACTTGTTTATCTGGCTCCCCATTAGCTTCCACAACAGTGATTGCTAGTCTTCCTGGAGTCCACTTATTCAAAAGAATACAATGTGCATGCCATAGTAATTGAAATTAAAATTCCATCATACAATTTACAATCAAAGTCAAACCAATATAATTATTCCTGACACAAGCCAAGATAACAGCAATACTCACTAACCTAGATGATATTCAGTCACATAGTAGAATTTAAATGCAGTTTTAGGTATTTCTTAGTTGTAGAAATACTGGCATATTTTTGATTCCCTGAGCAAGTTTATTCTATTCAGATAATACTACATTTTTTAAAAAGAATTTTTTTCTTAATTGAGGTATTCTCTAATTTCCATTGCTTACACATCTTGTTTACTAATTCTGAATTTAATCTGGATATTCCAGTTGTACAGATAAAAAAAAAACAGGGTTGAACATTACATGACATTAAAACATTCTTTAAGAATAAAAGTAGAGTATAATGAAGATCTTTGTTGTTTGCAACAGACCATATGACTGAGCCATACTCCAAGGACGTCCACTGTTGCATTTATCACATTTCTCATTACCAGTGGAGTTACACAGAAAGAACAGCTCTGTGTTGTCTCTAAAACATTTAGATGGAAGCTTTTCTGTTAAGGTTGTTCATCATTTGTAACAGATCACTATTGAACATAGCACTATTGTGTGATTTTTAATGCACATGCACACTTGTGAGGTTCTGTGCCTCCAGGTCTGAGTTTGCATTACCACCTGCTAGCTGCGTCTGACAATACCTCTGTTACAACCGCACAAACAAAGACTTAAAGAAAAGTGTGTTTCTCTGTCTCTCTCTCTGTTTTGTGTGTTTTTCCCCTAGAAAGACAACCATTCATTATGATGACAAAAGGGTAAAGAAATGCATTATCATAATTAATCTTGTGTGAGACTGTGGGTGGCAGCTTCAGCTCCACACTGAGACTGACAGAGGTGCTCAGTGCAGAAAATGTCGCTTCGCTACTGGGAACATTTTTGCAATTTCACTAATATCTGGAAAACTACGGAAAACACAGTAATTATAGACTTATCAAGTTGAAAACATCTCATGGCTTTTGTTGGTTTTTAGTTTAAATGATGCTGAATATGTTTCATCTATTTGTCAGGAAACAGCTTTATTTTTGTAGTCAGTCAGCATCTAGCCAAATATTCAGTTTGGTTATCATAGAAATCATTATTGACCCGAAATGTGCTTGTGATTTGCTCTCTCACTCTCTCCTTCTTTTATCTAAGGAATTTATTATGTCTCAGTATGTTTTAAGAGTAAGACATGTTGATGTGTTTTAATGCTTTAAAGTGATTGCAAAATGGATTTATTGTAAATATCCCTCACACACAGAAAAATATTACTCTTAGTCATTTCCCTGGATGACGGCATGCTTGTTTTTTTTTTATTGGGGCCAAACAGAACTTTTGTTTAGGTATCAACCTCTTCATTGTTTAGCATCCTCAGTGTTCCCCAGGTACTGCTTAGCTGTTTGGAATGGCATATCCAGTAATGTCTTTTGTGGTTGAATTAGATTTTTGCCTTTTACTGTGTGTTCTTAATGATGACAGCTATCACTGCTGTTCCAGTAAAAAAAAACATTCTGTATATATTTTATCTCTGTAATTCTACTCACTCCTCTACTCTCATTTATTTCTTATGAAATGAGCAGTTTCACAGCATCTCCCTGTGATAAACACTTTCTAGGCTTAAACCCTGAGTGTCTCTGCTGTTGGGAGAATGCCAGCAGTTCTGTAGCTCTGCCTATAGTGTGTACAGAACCCGGGACAAACAACCAGCCATGCGTGGCTGGATGAACAGATGGATGGATGGATGGAGTCACTGGGAAGAGATAAAGAGGTGGGAGTGAAAAGGTAAGAACAGCAAGAGCAGGAGTAGAATAGCAGATGAAATATGGGAGAAATGAAGTTGTTAAGAAGAAAATCAGAAATAGATGTTATGTGTAGAGGAGATAAACATAGAGAAAAAGGAACAAGGGAGAAGATAAAGAGAGGAAGGGATGAAAGGAGGGCGAGGGACCATGTGGGACACAGGACTTGGAGAGGGGAAGGAGGGAGAGAGGGCTTTCACAGTTTGTATTTGGAGGCATGGGCGTTGTGATGGCAGATATCTGCACAGCGCATGGTCATCTCAGATGGTTTATTTATCCAAGGCTTCAAGACCAGGCCTCAGACCTCCCTCAGTTTGTTAGGCTTGAAGGGGCCCCCTACCACACAACCCAATTCCTCAAATTCCACATTGGCTCCCATTTCCAGCTGCCTGTTTCCCTCTACCACTCAAACCGACCCAACCCATTACAGGCAACTCATACCCAGTTCCAGCAAAGTGGAATTACAAGCCGATGGTCACCTCCATGTGGACAGCTGAACAACTATATACTGTATGCAGGTGTACCAGTGAATCCCCACAGAGCGCGGCAGTGAATGAGAAGACAACAAGAGGATCCTGTGATCCAACATTTCTAGCCATGAAATAGCAAATATAAAGTGTTTTATCAAAAACTACGAAGAGATTCCACTTAACCAGCAGAACTGATAGTCTATCTAATCTAACGGCTGCAGAACTCACAAAAACTCTGAAAGTGAATCTTTGTGATGACCTATTTATTTAGTGTAGGCACATAGCAGGAAATAAAGACCTGAACTAAATTTACATGATATAGCATTTCAGTTTTTTCACTGACCCAACCTTTGAAAAGTTTGATTGATGACCTTTGCTCTTAGCCCTAATTTCAGCGGCAATCCATGCTTGTAAAGCACAAAAATAAAACCACTTAGAAACAGGGTTTATTACTGTTAGTATTCATTTTAAATTAATTTGATTATTATTCTTATTTAATTATGTGTCTGTATTGTTGTGTCAGGAAAAAAAAGACCAACATTCATCAGTGATAGCCATAAGGCAACTTGTGTTAGAAAGTGACCACCGTTTATGGATGCCAATCAAAAACGTGTTTTGTTCAAATTTTTTTTTTACATCGACTTTAATATATATTTCACTTCACTTATGTTCACATCACAGTTATTCACCAGACATTTGGGTAATCTGCTTAAAGCACCACATAGTCTCTGAGTCCAGCTTCTGTTATGCAGGGTTTTGCTGTCTTTCTCTGTTTTATGTCAATTTAAATTGAATATCTCTGGATATTTTGACTGGACAGATGACATTTGAATACATTATAATGGGTATTTTCCATTTGATTCTGACTTGTTATAGACTATATGATTATTTGATTAAATAGAAACAAAAGTTAGTTGTAGCCCTGAATGTGATAAGAAACTCCTAATGTTCATTTCAGATGTTCAGTGTAAAAAACAGTCTTGAGTGAATGAATGAAACCTGTGTTAGTAGACATTCAAATGAGGGTTAGGGTTAGGGATGCACTATATCACAAATACATGCTGATTCTCAGCCTCTCGGAGCAACTTTACATCTGCCTGTCTGTCTCTTGTTCTTTCTGTACGTGTCATGTAAACAGTAATGATGGATGTAACAGCTCAGCAGCTAGATGTGACATTGATTGAACCTGGACCTACTGTAGCTGTCATGGAGTGAGTCTATAGCACCAACACCTATGTTCAAATTGTTTTACAGAGCCTCAAATTAACACCCGCCACCTGACAAATGTTCCACATATAGCAGCACAGGTTAATGTTTTGGGCAGGGAATGACTGTGTAATCTGGTGTGTGTTTGTTCTTCACCCCCATACTGTCATGAGTGGAGCCATTGGGGGCTAAGATTAGCAAACTACCGAACTCCTAAGGTTGTAGAAAACAATCTGCACCTCTTGGGCATTGGTCTTAGGTGAACAGCTTTCTGAACTCATGAAATCATGCATGGCAAGAGATGGAAACTTTCCAACAGTCTCCGCAGAGATAAAGGTGCCACGCTGAACCAGGGTGTTGATGAAATAGATTCATACATGGAGTAAATTCCATGATGTTGTAAGGATAATTTTATAGTGACAGTGGGTTTTATTTTCTAGGGAGTAAAAAAACCAAGACGTTTGTGGTCCGAAGAGGAAAAGTTATAACTGCTAGTGCTAAAAACCTTCAGTACACACACACACACACACACACACACACACACACTTCTTCTCACAGCTACCTACAAGCTGCACTCAAGGCAAAAACTTGCAGGGATAACGATGTTTTTGGTTAACAAATGCTCCAAACATGAGATGCCCTGAAGTGAAATGAAAAGTGTGGAGAGATGTGTAATTCTCCCATACAAAAAAGAAATTATGTTTACATTCTTGTCTGAAAAGCTGCTTTAGCTTTTTATTTCTTTCACAGGCTGGTGATGAAACAGAAAAGCTGAAGGCTGTGTGCGTGCGTGTCTGTCGCTGTTATATCAATAGATGGCATGTGCGATTACTTCTGGGAATTATGTCCAGAGAGCAAGTGAGGCGGGCAGGCAGCGAGCTGTGTGCATGGCTGTGCGAGCGCGTGGATGTGTGCGTGCGTGCGCGGCGGTGCGAAGTTTATTGAGAGAGTTCCTCTCTCCCTCCCCCCCTCCTCCCCGTCCTCCTCCTCCCCTCCCTCCAGCCCAGGCAGCAGCAGCCTGGGTGGTCCCCCTCTCTCTCCACTTTGGTGAGCTGTTGCTTAGCAGCTAATAATAGGCGACGTTTGCAAAGTAATTTGCCTCTTCCTTGGCCAATGGGAGCCGGAGCACTTTTCCATCAAACCTCCCTTTTCATGATTTGTCGAGAGGCGAACTTCTCCAAATGTTACTGCTACAGGATCGGAGTTAGACTTGACACCGACAGCTCAGACACAGGCTGCTGCTGCTACTACTCTGAGACGTGGTTTCATAAACTATCGGGACGAATGAAGACTGGGGGATCTATACGGATTTTGGCGCATAATGTTGGGATGGAGTTTCGAGACTTGTTTGGCTCCAAAGAAGACTAGAAAACCTTCTGAATTGTCGCCAGTGGTGCTGGATGCGCTCCTCTTCTATGTTGGATTATTGTCGCTTTTTCTGAAATCGCACCGATTCGCTGTCGCTTCACTCTGCGCCCCGTTCACCCTCTTTGGACTATGGCCTCGGATCGCGGGGTCCCAGCGGCCAGTGTCTTTGGAGACTTACCCCCGAGTTATACGCGCTCCCAGCTTCCTACGAACCCAGACCTACTCCGGAGACCCAGCTACTGCCACGCTGCTTTCGCACTTAAACAGATCTCAAAGGTGATACAATGCTCGTAGCCTAGGCTGGATGTACTGTTGATGCTGCTTTCAGTCAGTCAGCAATTGTGAATGAAAATTCTTCAAAGGCAGCTTTGATTTAGTTGTTATCTTATCGAGAGTTGAGGGCGCATGTAGGAATGTGGAGTGGGCTGAAGCAACGGCTCCCAAACGGGGTTCGGGGTCTATCCAGAGCTCCCCGAGCCAGACGATAGCGGAGTCAGCAGTAGTGAAGTTTGATTGTTTATCACTTAAAGACAAACAAGTGAAGAAATTATTATCAGAGACTGATATAGACAACAGAAACTGTTTACCTGAACCCCTATAAGAACTCTGAGCTTGTATGACATAAAACTGTTTGGGAACCCCCTGGGGAAAAAATGATAGCCAGAGTTTTCATACTTGGCAGCAAGTTAACTTTGCTGTTTATTTGAATGGACATTAAGATTTCATTCATTTCTATTGTTGTTAAAGCCACCGTGAGGGAGTGAGTGACAGTTTGTTCCCATACCCTCGTTCGTGTTTTGGCTTTGTGCAAGGCAGCGGAGAGCGCACTGGCCCGGGGTCTGTTTGGAAATGTGGTGGGTCCTGTAAAGGAATTCACTGATTGAGTTTGATCTGACAAAGCATCTTTGGACCGCCTGGATGCTTGGACGTGTTTCAGCACTGCTGAGAGAAGCCACAACAGCAGTAGGCTACAATGTCTCCTACTGCAGTGACATTTGCAGCGCAGGGCCAGAATGACTGGAGTACGGTTATATGGAAAGGCACAGCTCTATGTTGCAGAGTAGTACATGCAATAGATTACAGCTCAGTCTCCATTTGCAGATACCGTACTTTTTTAGTAGTAGTTTATATGCAGAAGTGAATGAACAAGGCTTTGTATTGCATTCTCACTAAAGATCAGATTCATATAAAGTGCAGGCCTGTGAGTGTAGGTGTGTAAGTGACACCTTTTGACAGTATGGTTACTGAAATGTTTCAACTAACAGACTGGAACTCTGATATGAAGTATCTTCATTTTAAGATCTCTTTAAATGTATGTTTTTTCTATGTGTGAAAATGATGTTTTCCAGCTCAAGTTTTTTTTATTTTTATGTTTTTTGATAACTGTTAGTCAGGCATCTCTGATCTCTGGGCCTAAGTAGCGACAGATATGAGGTTGTAGCAGGAGTTTGACAGCACACATGCACAGGACAGGACAACACTGGCAGTCAGATATGTGGTTAGTTAGTTAGCACCTTATTTTGTCATGCATGTTATGCAATGACACATCTCTTTGCATGTGTTATGCAGCATCTTGGGTGCTAGTTGTCACGGCGCTTTAAATGTGGCCTCAGAATAAAGAGAGCCATGAGCTATGAAACCTGCCTTTTGGGAACGGTTGTGCATTGATGTGTTATTTATATATGGTATCACAGTAATAATAATACTATCCTTTTCTCACCCTCCCTTCTGCTTCAAATCCAGGGGAAGGCAGTAGGTCAGAAAGCTCCTCTGTGGATCCGGGCGAGGTTCCAGGCCCTCCTGTTCTCTCTGGGCTGCCACATCCAGAGGCACTGTGGGAAGGTCCTCTTTATTGGACTCTTAGTATTCGGGGCTCTATCTGTGGGACTGCGAGTCGCAGCTATCGAAACGAACATTGAACAACTATGGGTGGAAGGTGAGCTTAAGATATCTCTCATTTGATACATCATTAGTCACCTCAGCGCAACACACAGCCCCTTAACACGTGCTTTTAGCGTTGCACCTTGCTACTGCTGTGACTCTTACTGTCTCACACAAATAGAACAGCCCAAAGTGCCTTCTCCACATAAAGCACCATTTTGTGAGTTAGGTCTTGATTGACTGACTGCAGAGTACTCAGTTTACAGTAATTAGCACATTTTGATGAGCTTGTCTTTCTGCACTGAGTTTCACTGGAGTTTGACTGACAACAGTGACTGGTGGGAAGATGCAGGCTGTCCGTGTTAGTGTCATCTCAGTGCCATAGGAGGGCACTAGGTGTTCAGTGACTTTTCAGTAGTAGTTCAGTCTCTCCTTCTCTTCTATGCATTAAGAAAGGGAGACTGTATTTTTAAAGCTCAGTTTTGTTCGCTCATGTCTTTTCATTTCTTTTTACGTGATACGTGATACGTGACACTGACACGACTGCATGACAAGTCATACAGACACACCATGTCTTTCACGTGCTTGATAAGGATGTCTGTGTTTTTGATTCTACACTAATTCACAAACCTTCTCTACATTTGACACTGTCTTTAGGTTTAGGTTATCTGTACATTTTCAGGGGCAGAAGCAGCTTTATTTGGTTTTTCACACTGGCCAAATTCCTTTTAAACCCCCAGGCTTTCAGTGCTGGGGCTGATCCCCGCAGCAGATGGACTGTGTGAATGGTTAGCCATCTTTGAGGGCTCTGACCCCTCCCCCCTCGGCTCCCTGTGTGGTCCCTAACTATTCTTGGATTCCATTCAACAAGAGGCAAGCAGGCAGGCAGGCAAGCAGGCACCACCTCCCTAAACCCCCCCCTCCTCCTCCTCCTCCTCACAAGAAGAGTAAAAAAAAATATATAAGTGAATGCAGCTGAAGTTTACCCACCTGTTTTGCACGCTCTAAAAGCGCCACAGCAGTTGGTGAATATAAACAGACTCTACAGGGTTTTTAAGCCCACCATGTCACTAGAGGGAGGATGGGACAGGCAGCTCCCACAGGAGCTATATAGAGGTGTAGGATGAAACACACACACTGCTAGTGTCAGGAGAAGTGTCTGGAAATGGTGCACGTCATTTGCACAAGAATGTAAATGAATTATTTTATCTGGTACACTTTGAAAACTTTAAATGCTGTCATTGAAATTATGAGCTTGAGTTTGGTAGGAAAAGTCTGAATCTTGTTGTACCCGGTACATTCCATGAACACAGGTAAAAATTAACATTACATGCTCAGGCATCTTGCACCTCCAAACTGCACGCAGGCAGATGAAAGGTGAAAGCCCCCGAACCCAACAGGCCTGTACATTATATCTGTTTTGGGCTAACCCCATTTTACACAGGGACGTCAAACCGTGACGTCTCTGGTGCCAGCCGTGCAGCTGGCCATAGCAGTAGTCAAAACATGAAGAAAATCAATGTGTGTGTGTGTGTGTGTGTGTGTTGATTAAGTGGTGTGTATCTAAAAACATTCTGACAGGACATTCAGTGACATGTCCTGACATTAGGCATAAGAAGATATTATGATTAAGATTAAACACGTCATACAGTAATCAACTCTCTATCTAGTTATCCTTGACCATAAACAACCTGGAGTAACTCATGAAAATGAGTAAGCATTTAACAGCCTGAGCTAGACATCCTGTCTACACTAAAAACATTTCTAATACAACAAGTACCTAACCAATATCTATCTGACTATAAATACCTAACAATCTCCTGCAAAAACAAGGAACAAGAGCTTGAATTTCCACTGTTTCCCTTTTCATTGGTTTCATTCTGGTTAGTGTAAAGCTTCAGGATTACTTCTTGAGCTAATTGGCAGAGACGTCTTCCAAATGAGATGTTTAGATGTTTGTGTGCCAGTTGTTTTGCTGTGGGATTGAGCGAGTTGAACCGAGGGGCTGAAAAGGAATGCTGTGCCTTTAAGAGGCCGTGGCCATGTCTCTAAAGTTTCTGCCTGCCTTGTTTCCACCAATAGCCCATTGACAAAGCTGCTAGGGCCTCAATGGAGAGTAAAGTGGTTTGGTAACAAGGAGAAGTTAGTTCCCCCTCTGTCTCTCTCGCTCACACACACACATACACACACACACACACACACACACACACACACACACATATACATGCATCACTGCACATAATCAAGAACACAAGAGGGAGGAATGATACCCTCACTGATAACACAGCTGATTTCATATCAAGGGGCTCCGGATAGTTTTCTATATTAGTTATTAATTTTTATTGGACTGTTTTTGTGTAGACATCTTCACTTAAAATGTAAGATTCTAAATAATTACCTTCACATTTTAAAAGCAGTTTTATGAAACAGCTCCTCCAGATTGCAGCATAAACAAGGCTTTTGTACTTGTATTCTATTCAGAATAAACTAGATGTGATTTGACAACTTCTGTGTTAACACTCTGCCAAGTTGGATGCGTAAGTGTGTGTGTGAATGTGTTAGGGGCATATGTTTCCCATCATATATTCATACTAAACACCCCCACCACCACAGTATTAACACATACACTTGTCGTCTTTGCCACCTTTGGTGTGTACAGTTTGCTTGGTCGTCCGTCTGCCTTTTGAATTTCCTGTCTCTCTGCTTGTGCTTTGTGTGTGTGTGTTTATATTTCTACCTGCCTGTCTGCCCGCTCTGTGAAGTCAGGCCACCAGGGTTTATTTTTAAATTGCTTCCTCCCTCCTAGAGGACCAAAACACTGTGAAGCAGAGCACAGCACTGTGTCTAGAAGGAGTAGACACTGAGAGACAGAATGGGAGTTGTAGTTTTTCTGCAGTGCATACGTACATTTCCATGCAAACATTTCATAGCACACTTTGATAGTCTTTATTTATATTGTTTTATCTGCTCTATGGATACTTGAGAAAATAAATGGGCTATCACGCCTTCAGCACTCACACCTGTGTGAGAATTAAAACCTCACTATCAGGGTGTGTAGTCTCACAATGGGATTAAGGACTGTTCAGTCACTGAAGAGGACCTGAGACAGACATCACCCATCAAAATACCTTAAATTACTCACAAAGGCCTGCTGTGCACATTGTTATAATGCAGAGTACTGACTTATTTTGGAAAGTGAAGCAAACACTAGCAGCCAGTGAAGAGATGATAGATGATACTACATGTACTATTGATCTGCAGTATATCATTTGAAAGTACCTGAACTATATTACATCTTATAATTCCTAGGTGTCCCACTTCCCATTCAGCAGAAATCAAGCTTGTGTACTGTAATCTTTAATCAAGTCTTGTGTGAAAGGTGCTGTGAGCTGGGCAGCATGTGATCCAGTCAGTATTGTCCACAAACAGAAAAGAGAGAGATCGTAAAAAGAGGTGCAGGACTAAGAAAACAACGAGAGAAGACACTTGTGTGTTTGGGCAGGAACAGGGCATATGGTTTATGGCTAGTTGACACCTTTTTACTTGTGTTTTTTCCAGAACGAACATCAAGTGCAAATCCATCTCTTGCTTGTCTTTCTCACTGTAAGAGGGAGCAGTTGCATTATGGAGACACTGCTTTCTTAAGCTTAAAATTTTAACTTAGATCTGTGATAGTAGAGTTTTCTTTTTGTGGTGTATGGATAATTGTTTTACATCATATATTAAATGGTTTGGCAACTTTGATTATTGCCCATTATAAAGGCCCACTTGAAAAGCTTGTTTGAGAAAGAGAGGAAAGAAATGGCCTCCGTGTAAAACTAGTGGTGTTTACTCTTACATTAACGAAACTCATCCTTCTTGGCAGAGCTTGGGTGAGGCATGACAGACATGTACACAGTCTCAAGCTGTCCAAATATGAGCGCAGTGAGACAGGCACACCACATGTCCCATAAAGAGGCCATGTAGGAAGAGGAGGATACACAGTCCACGTAGTGTGAATGCATAGAGACTGAAGGTGTAGTTTAACCAGCTAGCAATCTAATCAGACAAGGTTTTCTGTAAATATGAGAAGATCCAGAAACAGGTTAATTAAAGGTATTGGAAGAGTTTGAATGAGAGAAAACACCCCTGAGTTTGTGCAAATGAGCGAATGCACATGTGGACATTTCACTGTTTGGAGCACTTTCTCTAAACAAACCTCAGAGGGGCACAGCAGGTAAATGCTATAATTCATTGGAGCGCACACAGCACCCCAGTTCGGACAGAGAAAGGGAGCTCTATGAGGCATTATTGGAGGTGAATAGTGTGCGGTGGTACCCCAGCTAGATAAATAAACTCCCAGCGCTCAGGGCCCAGGACCTCACTGGTAGAAAGAACAAACAAGACCAGAGTCAACCTGGGTCACTTCAAAATGTTTATTTCATCCCCCTTCCCTCAATCCTTCGGTCCAAGTCTCCCTCATTCCATCCCTGTTCGCAGCATCCCCCAAACACACACACACACGCACACACTCCAGCAGTTAGACCAAGACCACCTCCTAACAAATAAACACACATTGAGCAGCTATAGCTACAATGTGCATATGACAGACACATGGCTTTTGCTTCCACAATGCAGGAAACACAGACTACTCTGCCTGTCTTTTTGAAGTAGCAACTTTACAGTTATAAAACAAAAATGTTAATGGTGTGGACTTTGGAGTTTGATGCCACATTTACAGTGATATTATGAAATGCACCTTTATGCTGCCTACCAGACTCGTTGCAACTGTGAATTCAATATCCTGAAAGGCTGCAAAGCAAGTGAAAACAGGATAATGAAAACTCAATCAAAATAGTGTGGCACCCTTTCTTTCCTAGCTAAAGAACAACTTTTGTCTTTGGTCTGCGTGAAATAAAGTAACACCAGTCACCTTAGAGTTTGCACCATTTGCTTCTGTCTTCACACTATGAAGGTATAAAAAGTAAAGGGTGAGGGAGACGGTGAGAGACTGAACATTTTCTTCGTACTTGGGAAGGGAAAAAAAGAAATGGTTCTTGGGCTCAATAAATTCATTTCTTGTCTGAATGAGACCAGCAACGTGGAAAAATTTTGCCTTTCAGGCGGGGATGAATGTATGTTTCAACCACACATTAAGCAGTATTAGCGGTCAGTGGAGTGTCTAATGTGACTATTTTTCACAGTGGCCAACACTGCCCATGATTAGCATAATTAGCAGAGGCAAGCCTATACATATGGAAATAGAAAGTGCCTAAATGCCAACCCTGGTGAAAATTTATGTGTGGTGCCTAACACCACTGGCACATCTGAATAGAATGTAAGTGAAACTGATTTTTTATGTTGTTTTATACTGTTTTTAAGATGTGATCTCAGTGTGTGTGTGTGTGTGTGTGTGTGTGTTTCACCTTGATTGGAGCTGTGGGATTGTTACACACTGAAACTGATCATTTTGTTGTGTTCACACATTGAATAGGGTTTCCTCCATCTAAAATAATGCAACTGTCGTTGAGGAGTGATTAACAGATACAGCATGCATGTGAAGACAAAACACACACACACACACACACACACACAAACACACTGTATTTCTATAGGTATGATAGCATAGTGCCAGCTTCTTTTCCTCGCCCCCAGCCTCACCCTCCCACAGCCGACTCTGGCATTGTTTTACAGGCTGGGAAAGTTTTGGTCCATTTGCCTTTGTTGAAAAAAACATTCTCTCTTTATTTTAGTCCACTGTTTGTTGGGAAACATCTGAAAGAAATTGAAGGGTTGAATGACAAAAGAATCTGCATTCAGTCTGGAGCTGCTGTACTGAAGGATTGTATGGAGGAACGGCCCATCTGCTGGGGGGCTGCCTGTTTTAAACCGTGTCCTGGCTAGGGAACGCCGTAGGGCAGGGCCAGGCTGAGGACCTAAAGGGGCATAGCCCTGATGCTGGTGGGTCCACATGTGACAAAAGGCCCAAGACGTTTGTGTGTGTGTGTGTGTGTGTGTGTGTGATGTATACTGCCTGGCCAAGAGAATAATTTTCTCATTTGGCTCATTTGCTGAAAATCAAAAGAAATAAAAGATCTTTATGGGAGGATGCTGAAAAAAAGGGCAGAGAGAGAAAAAACGTAAATGATGGATGGAAGATGGCAGCCAAGGGATAGCATTCTGTTTTTTATATTGTTGCTACTCTGTGGTGGTGAGAACTCTTTTTTTCTCTTTAAATCTATGTTTTATCAAAAGTAGAAATAATCCAGTGTTTGCATGCTGTGTTAATCAGGAAGGGGTAACTTTCCTTGGCACGACGTAGCATACATGTCACTTTCAGCCCTCTTCGTATTGGATCTTCCTCCATAGCAGCATGGGGCCTTTCAGAGGCCCCCTAATCCAGCTAATCTACCATACTGAACTGTGAAGGTGGCCTGGTCTGACCTAGCATGGCCTGGACCTGGGACTAGGTCTGTAAGCCACGAAGACAGAATAAAATAGGATATAATAAATTTGACATACAGCACTTTAAAGGTGGCCTTGGCTCCGTCTTAGAAGCCAGATGTGAGAACCTCCAAATATTTCACTAGGTTAGGGAATTCTGGGTATCCAGCTTTTAGGGATAGAAGGGTCAGGTGGGGAGGAAATGACTGAGGTTGGTAGAGACAGGTCCAGTGGTTACACTGGTGCACACACATACCCAATAGCACATGCACACACATTCATACAAATATTATATTTATACATCCACAGCCGTGAAACTCTGTCAGGACTTGAAATGACATTTCTTGCTTTCTTTTCACTTTCCCAATATTGTAACTATTGTGAAAGTGCATTTAATGGAGACACTAGTAAATGAATTAATATGTTACACCCAACAGAGTACAATTGTTTGCTAAAATTTAGAAGATGGTGGTCAGTCTTCTCAGTAACATCCACTAAAGGAACTGGGGATGTGATTTAGATAGAGCTGCTTTTTTCCTTTTTGGATCAAGTTGACAAACATAGACTAATACTTCATGTTATAAAATTGTTCATGTAATAAAATTACCAGCTATCAAGGTGTTAAAACCTTGGTTTCCATACTCAAAGATGCTTTCTTCCAGGGGGGTGAAATTTCCAAGGACTGTCTCTTTAAGGCTGTGTGGAGACGCAGGCTGATTGCGGGAAGAGGGTCGGGGGATTGAAAAAGAGTGAGAACAAGAAATGAGGAGATTATGAGAAAGAGGAAGGACAAGGAAAAGAGAAATCTGGAGATGGAAAAGTAGATAGACAATAAAAGAACGAGCAAGGTTCCTTCTGGAGCAAACGGTGAACCGAGCAGGGTCTTTGCAAAGCTCTTAGTTGTGTGACTGGGGCTGGACCAGGGGCTGAGGAGCGAAGGCGAGAACGAGCGAGTGAGAGAAGAGAGAGGAACAGCTGCCTGGGTGGTCCAGATGGGAGGAACGAGACACAAATAGCTATAATTTACTTCAGGAGGCCTGTAATTACAGAGCCAGAGTCTCTCTGAGCCACCCAGTTCCTGTTGGGATCAAAACCCCACGCTGCAGAGGTTAACGTACGAAATGTCAAAAAAGGTTTAACAGATGTCAAAAAGGTGCAGGAACGGAAAGGGTTCCATTTTGTAGTAGGCTTTTTTTGATTGGAAATCTGCGTGACAAGGAAACCGATTGAAGTGGTGGGCAACTATATGTCCAAGCAGTGTTTTTACATCAAGCCTCATCACTTTGTAAATGACAATTTCCATTGTGGAAATGGTTTAATAAACTCCAAGTACCAGTACTTTTACTTCATTTTCTCAACCACAAGAGTCTCCAAAAATCTTGAGGACATTGCTATTCTACAGCCTTCTGTTGTAGCTTCCTTGGAATTAAAGCTTTAGAAATACATGTAGAACCCAATGTGCAAAAATACCCAACAAGAAAAGAACATGTCCTATTTTGAAGTACTTTCTTTATTAAATTCATTGAGCGAGACACTTGAAAAAGGACACTCACGACTGGTAATAAACAAGATGACCTGATACCCTCAAGTGCCTGTGTAGGTAATTAAAGCTTTGAAAGCAAAGTCTAAAAATATTGGAGTGTGTCTTTGAGGCCCGGACTTCTAACCTGATCTCACACATTCAGCGTAGGCTGAATAGTTTGTTTTTTCTTTTCTCCCCATCAATTAAAAGCGCCTGCTCAAGGCTGGGGGGAGGTGCAGAGAACTTGAAGGAAGAAGAGACAGAAAGAGAAACAGACAGTGAGAACGACAGAGACAGGGCCTAAAGAGAGTGTTAAGAAGAGATGAGAAATAGATGCTAAGAGCGGTGAAGTCAGGATTGATTGCAGTGTGGTTAAAGTGAGAACAAGAGTGCTGAGAGTGAGAATTGAGAAGGAGGCAGCTCTTGTTTTCAAACTTCCCCCACTTCCCTCCTCCCTCTCTTTCTTTCTCTGGGGTTGTCGTGTAGTGGGACAGCGAGAGGGGCAGACAGGCCCTCTGTGATCCAGCGCGGCATGTTTCATGTCCACTTGGCATAGGCACAGATCCCCCCCAGCTGGCAAACTCTTTTCAGGGCAACCTTCTGTAATTAGGGGGCTGGAGTCTGCACAGCACAACATAACTCCCTCTCTCCCATCTCTGCTCTGTTCATCACCCTTCACTCTAACATTTATATGAATTATTTGCTCCTTGCATCTGTAAAGATGGACACAGGATGTTAAAATGAAAAAAGAGTTCATCATTTCCTTGTTATGATCCCTTTCCATGTATTCAAACAAGTTTTTGTCCAGTTCTGCTGCCCTGTCTGGGGTTTTGGGGGCATCCGAAGGCTGGTTTTCCTAACTAACAGGGCACATCTGTTTCACAGAGGGAGCCAATGAGAAGCTGTATTACTCATTTCTTTTGGCCAGACACTGGCTTGTGTGAAGTGCCTTCAAAACCAACACCGGCAAGAGCCAAGGGCGTTGGTCGATATATGTGTTCTAGTGTAAGTGTGTGTGCATATGTGCACATACAAATGTGAGTGTCTCTGAATGTGTGTTTCAGAAATTCTGTGCTAATATATGCTTAATGTAGAGAATCTATCTATCTATATCAAGCTATCTAAATCAAGAATTTTGCATCAATTCATTTCTTAATTCTTTCCTCCTAGCTGGCAGTCGGGTGAGCACAGAGCTTAGCTACACCCGAGAGAAGCAGGGAGAGGAGTCTGTGTTTACCTCACAGATGCTTATCCAGACCCCCAAAGAAGAGGGCACCAATATTCTTACCCAGGAGGCGCTGTTGGTTCACATGGAAGCTGCCATGTCTGCCAGCAAGGTCCAGGTGTCGTTGTTTGGAAAGTAAGCAAATCATGGACATGAATAATTTTCCAGTATGGTTGTTGTCATTTAAAGTTAATCTTTTTTCTTTCCCCTAGATCGTGGGATCTTAACAAAATATGCTATAAATCAGGAGTTCCAATTATAGAAAATGTCATGATTGAAAGAGTAAGTTAACAAAGAAACAAACAAATTTTTTATTCCAGTGTCTCACTGATTTGTGATGTTTAATCATGCTTCCTTTCTATTGCTTGATCTCAGATGATTGACAAGCTATTCCCCTGTATGATAATCACCCCATTGGACTGTTTTTGGGACGGAGCCAAACTACAGGGAGGCTCCGCCTATTTACCGTAAGTCTTGGAAAATGTGACCCAACTTAAATTTGTTTGCATATTAAAACATTTCATCGAAAGCCTTGGCTCTCCCTTTGCTGTCATTGCTTCCATCTGACTTGTGCTGCAGACTAGAGCTTTTGAAGGAGCCCATAACTTTTAACACATGCTGGATGGAGACATACAGTTGGGCTTTCAGTAGTCTGTCAGTGAGTGCTGTGACTGACAGTGGCGGTCAGTAATAGAGTTCTTTTAGAGTCCAGAGAGGGATTGGAGGGGGGCTTTCTGACAGAAATTCAAAGAGAGAACATGAGGGAGAGAAAGAGGTGGGGGTGGTGGTAGGGGAGCCCTTTGGGTCAGACAATGGTAAGCATTCTTTCAGTTTACAAGTGAGTGTCCATCAGTGCAGGGGCCCTGGAGGAGGGAGGGGGGCCGGCTTTGTCAGCTCATGGCTAACACTTGGCATTCTCATGGTAATGCCCTAGGCTTCCAGCTCCCAAGTTGTCCAACAAATAAAATGGGCAGTATTCAAGCCTCAAGTCCCCCGAGAAAGACAGAGAGAGGCTACAAGACAGTTAGCAGTGGACTCTGGGCGTATTTGGGCCTTTGCAGATTCAAGTTTTTTTTTCTTCTCATTTTTTGGGGGGGACAAAGTTCTCTTGAGAAATTGAGTCACTGAAAGAGAGCTCTTTTCTTTTTCTCAACAGAAGTGATATTTCAATTGATTCCTTCGTTTATACAAGATAGTTAAGATGAAAGCGGATGTTTCTTTGCAGACAAATTATTTATTTTTATTCCTGTCTCTTGCTGACAGCAGTATGTTTCATGACAAGCCAGCATATACAGAAACAAACCCAAGTTTCCCATCTGAAGCATTTCCCAGTTGGCTTGTGTGAAAGCAGACAGAGAGGGCAAAGGGGGTTTTCTGATGATTCACATGTCTTTTCAGCATCTTTAAAAGTGTTCATCATCTGTTATTACTTATTAATTGCTGTTTGTTTGTTGCTAATGTGGAGCTGAGGCGAGCTTGAGGTTGTCACTGAGGCCAGTGCCCCCTTAGTCAGCTTCCACTTCACTTCAGCCCTGGTTTTAAATGCAACAAAACAAAACAAAAGCATGAGATAGCAAGAGAGAAAGGCAAAGGGGGGAGAGGCATATTTGGAATGAGCGAGAGAGAGAAATAACTTGGGAGAACAAAGAGCAGCAATCTGTGAAAAAACAAAAGGACCCAGGCCCAATTCACTCAAGCAAAAACTAATGATAAAGGAGTGTGTCTTTGCGAGAAGAAGCTGAAGGGACCCTGGTATGTGGGAATAGGAGAGCAGCTCTCTTTATAAACCACTGGAGTGAGATTGAGACCAAAAGTGAGATATTTTGAGATTGTTGATTTCCATATCTTTCTGTTTTCTTCTATTTTTTTTTTTTTTTTACTTTGTCCCACTTCTGAAAATGGCCATCTTAAGAATTTCCTTAACACTGAATCACAAAGTATTGCCATTATGTTATTCCTCTACTTTTTTTTATTTTTTTGCAAAATTTGAAACAATGAAAAAAAGTTACTTCTAAGACATTTCTGATATTTTGTGGATAACCTTTTATTTTTAGGTGATTTAGTCCAGGAAAACAGTTAAGCTATTTTACAGTGTACCCCACCTTTATTTTCAGTGCTGTGTTACTGTACAGATCTAATTTGTTTGAATTGTTTTTTGAAGAATAAATATGGTAAAATCAAAAAGACGTTTCCAGACTTCAGAAAGCTACTGGGGAATGCTAGAAGCAGGATATCTAACTATACATTAAAGCTAATATATTGGTCAGATATACAGTACTTTATTCTTCTCAGCAAAAAGTCTTGAAACTGCAAAGCATGAGAAAATGTTAGTTTTATTAGTTT